GGGCTTCATTTAGCTCTAGGTCTGCAGAGACTTAATTACATTTTAGCTGCTCAGCTGATATCCGTCCACTAATTAAGCCAGACTAAATCATTCATCATTAGAGGTGATTGAGACTCTCACGCTGGTGTAGTTTATCTACTTTCTAGCAAGTGCACCTCAAGATCTCCCATCCACAGTAGGAAAGGAAAACTCAGCTTTAGAAGGAAGAAGCCACTCACAGAATAAGTCCAGTCACCTCTAACTTACCTAATGAAGTCATTTACAATTGACTTGAGCACCAAATGGATTGTTTCCATTGACCTGACAGCACGTACAACTTATTGTGAGCAACACAGAGTGAAGCGGTTCTCAGTGAAGACAAACAGATATAGTTTCATTAATTAAAAACAGCTCCGATGTTTCCTACACAGATGGTCACGGTCCGTTTACCAATCAAATCTGACACATTCCTGTAGTTGGGGACTATTTTTACTGATGGATGAATCCACATTTGGTGTCATGAGTCCTCACAGGAGGGTGTATGGAGATGAAATAATCCCCAGTTTAGGTTATCGGCACTAAACCGCGACCCTGTGTGCAAAATCCTTCCGTCTCAGCTCGGCGGGTTTGACAGCCCCCCGAAACGCTTTCCTGTTTGTTCCGACCTCCTGACCTTTATGTTTGCCTTTGTTGACGCTCTGATCATTATAAATATTAATAGAATATTTCTCTCGCTCCAGGCGAACCAGATGGCTCTTTGTGCTGCCGAATAGCGGCGCAACCAGGAGTTTAAATGAGGTCGTTACAGTTGAGAGACGCCCTGCTGCTCCGACGACTCTCTGCAGGAAGATGATTTACATACTGGTGATGCGTCTCTGTTCTCTGACCTCTGTTTTCAACAAGCAGCTGATTACCTCACTGTGAACTCTGAGAAATGTACTTCAATCTGTGTTTAATGGTTTGTGTGTTTAGGATGATTAATGGCATGAAAAAACTACTGTTTATTTATCTAGAAGCTCTTTGAGCGCTCAGATGGTTAAAGAGCATCTTAGCTGGAAGATGGTGACGCAACAGCTCCTTCAGATGGTTGCAAAACAAGGAAGTGAAATGCTTTAACAATCTGGCATTTAGGTGTGTGTGTGTGTGTGTGTGTGTGTGTGTGTGTGTGCGTACCTGTTGGCAGGTTTGTCTGTGTCCAGCAGACTCATTATCGACTTTCCGTCCATATCTGGAGGCGTGTCGACGCCAGCGATGTCCAGGATGGTCGGAGCCAGATCGATGTTTAGGACCATGTGAGGGTTACTGACACAAACATGCAAACAGAGTATGAGCGCTTATTTTATTATATGTGTGTGTCTGTTTTAGCTTCATGCTGTCATAACGAAATCCGAAAAAGAAACTGTTAACAAGACTTTAATAAATGTCTCGTTTTTACCAAAACAGGGCTTCAATTTTCATGTGACATTCATTAAATGTGACATGTGGCACAGATGCATCATGCATGGTTTTATTACAGCTGTGCACACACACACACACCCACACACGCACACACTTTCGTTTTGCTATCTTAGTGAGGACATCTCATTGACATAATGCTAGCTGCTTAAGCTAACCATCTAAAATCAGTGCCTAACCTTCAGCTTAAACCCAACCACAGCCTAAATGTAACTCTGACACTAAAACCACATTTTCAGCCTCAAAATGCTCAAACTCGTGTCCCCACAAGCATGCCAATTTTTCTGTCCTCACAAAGATATCTAAACATGTACACACACACACACACACACAAAGTCAGATCTTCTTAAATTACTACAAAG